TCCCCAACGCCTTCATAGGTAAACCTGCAGCCTCACTCTTAAAAAAGAACTTGAGCGTGGAAAGAAAATGCCACCAAAAGGGATAAACAGGTTCATCGTAATGATTTCTTTTTTTATTTGTTACATGTTTACATGTTTGATGTGTTTCATCATTTTCAGTATCTATCCAGTTAAGGCAGTATGAAAAAGAAGTGTGCTTAATAGTATTGAATGTGCACTAGTAGTGTTTTTCGAATCTTGAAGTATATTTTTGTAAAAACTGTAATAGATAATATAATAATAATTATAATAATAATTAAATAAAATGCCACTTAAGTGTACTTAGAAAGAGACATTTAACTTAAGTACACTTTTTATAAGTGGACTTTGTAATAATGTCAAATTAAATATTTTACTTTAAAGTAACGTTTGAATCCTTATGTGGCCCAACTTTATATTAGGTGTCTTTAACTACCATGTTAATATAAAGTGGGTCCCAGTTTGTTTAATAATCTTTTGCTTTAAAGAAATACACTTATTTTGATGTGTTGACTAATATACTAAAGCACGTGTACTTGATCATAATTTTATTGTAGTGTGATATTTGATATTACAGTTGAAGTTAGTTAATAGCAGCAGCAGCGTAGCAGATCTATTCCGCCAAGAATTAACATATTAACATTGTCATGTACATTACCATGTCAATCCCTCCAAGAGTTGTCATGACAGAAATATATATATATATATATATATATATATATATATATACAAAGGTAGAGAAAAATGCCCCATGAAATCACTTCCAGGGGGGCAAATATTGCCCCTTAATGCCTCTTTCTGATCCTGTGGTCAACTCTTCTGCCCTAATTATATCTAATCCAATTACAAGGCGAATACATGGAAAAGTTACCAAAGAATTAGACTTAAATAGGAAGTCTCACTTTTCTTTTCTATCATTTCGCTCGCAGGCAGTCGAAGCAGTGGCTCGAATCGAAGCGGCAGCAAAAACAACACAAATACAGCAGCTGGAACACAAGAGTCTGGAGGCCGATCCGGCAGCGGCAGCGAGTCCGAAAAAAAAGAAAAGGCTCCCAGTGAGCGCTCCGCTGCGGCCCCTAGCGAGCACAGCGTGCGTAGCTCACACACCATCCGGAGCGTTCAGAGCCTGGTGTGTGGAGCGCCGGGCCTCCCTCCACAGTCACAGCCACAGACACCCTCCACAGCAGCGCCGGCCTCTCCTCCAGACCGAGACCTGGCCTCAGTGCCGCCCGAACTCACAGCCTCGCGCAAATCTTTCCGCATGGCCATGGGCAACCCTAGTGAGTTCTTCGTCGACGTCATGTGATGAGCTTCATGTGACCCCGAGGGTCGACCCACATGCTCAAGGCACTGTGAAATCAAGAAAGAAAGCTGGGGAGGAAGACGAGAAAGAGATGCATTGACATTTTAGTAGCTAAGTGTCCCTCTTAATGTCCCTCCTGTGTCCTGTGGCTTGCACTTTCTTCAGTGAAGAAGACTGGAACAGATCACGTATCCCATCATGCCCTCAGAGACCCGAGGTCTCTGATTTAAGGAGACTCTTTGCGATGCAGTGATGAAGGTGAATGCTTGCTGCTTTTTGTGTACTTTTTATGTACTTTGCCTGCATTTTTTTATATTTTGTCCTCTGACCAGTTTATTAACTTCAAGTTAAGATCTGTTTTTCAATCAAAGATGAACTCAATTAAGCAGGAGAGAAAAGCGTGACATGAGAAGAAAGTCAGGATATCTCTTACTTCTAAATCACCTTTTGCTTTTTAAGGATGAACAAATAATTTTGAATGATTTAAAAAAAGACAAATGCTATCAAAAGATAGAACCTTTGGCAATTCTTTTATATTTATGGCTTTAATTTTCTGCTAAGAATTGTGGAGAGTGAGAGAGAAAAATTATGTTTTTAAGTTTACAGACAGGACTTTTAAAGTCCGCCTTACTCTTTGGGTTAAAATGAATTTATTAAACATGATGCATGATGGGTTTTTTTCATCTCTTTTGTTGTTTTAATAACCTGAATTGATCAATTGTGCACATTAAGACCAGGGACATTTATTAAGTAAATCATTTGTTGATTTAAAGAACTTACTTGGGAGATATTCAGTCCTGTTCTGTTATTCTTTGTAACAGTCCACCTGTATTACATGTACTGAACCTGCAACAGTGATGAAGTTCCAAATGGATCTTTAATGTTTCAATGTTATCAGCACTCCTAAAGCAACCTGATGATGCACTATTATTATTATTATTATTATATGATGAAGAGCAGCTCCTTTCACTCTCTCACTCTTCCTCAAACAACACAGTACTTAATATGTTAATGTCTGTCATCATTAACTGTCAGCACTGTGCTTCATTGTTTCTCTGTAAACCTTCCATTTTTTTTTCTCAGATGCATTTATCACATTTTTAATTATTGGAAACAGATATGGTTCAATTTAATACTCGCTGTACACTGTTTTATGACAACACGAAACAAATTGTTTTATTTATAAATATAGTTTATTGCCTAAACACGGAGTGTGAATCTTTTCTGGGGGTTTTTTTGTGAAAAGAACATCACTTTTATTCTTCTGCATCATGAAGACATAACAAAACCTTCTCTTCTAGACACCATAATGAAGTCCATAATTCCTTAAAACTTGCAACCAAAGAATATGTTTTCAGCAAACAGAAGTAATTATATACTTGAGTGCAGAATTAATGTGATGTTTTCGGACACTTAAATGCATGTTATTTACAATTAAATTAAAAACAAAATATTTCAAATGACACACAAGAGTTGAAATTATAATCAATTAATCAATCAAAATTTTATTTGACATTATTACAAAGTGCACTTTTTAAAAGTATGTTGAGAAACAGGCATGAAAGTGAACTCTTTCTAAGTGCACTTAAGTGGCATTTTAGTATGACGTACAAGTGCAAATTCAGTACAGTTAAGCACTTCTTTTTCACAAGAAACACAAGGGAATTTTATATGTGAGCTTGTGGGCCGTCATAACTAATCTCCACTCACGCTCCAGTTAAGGTGGTAGAAAATGATGGGTGGATTTTCTTGCAGTTTTATTCTCATAGAGAAAGTTTTCCCACACTGATTCTGACAGCATTTAAGGGAGAAGAATATATTTCATTCTCGTTGGCTCTCAGAAGTGCCATTCTATGATTTATATTTCCACCGTATCAAAGGAAGATCCGGGGACAAGCCGTAATTTATATGCAACTGAGACTGAACCACTTACACATGATGAACACGCTTCACACTTTATAAACAAACCTTAACCCTAAAAATGAAACTTTAGCACGTAAACCGTCCTGCACTCTCATACTGAAAATCATGCAGCCCGTTGAGGAGACTATTGCGACTATATCATTATTCAAAAATAAAACTGATGAAAAATCCCATAAACTCCCATTATAGGGCTTTTTTGTGACATATTTGTCAGGTGCAAGAGTTTTTTGGTAACTAACACTAAAACACTGGCTTCTTCAGACCTCCACCAATGCGATTTGGTGAAATGTAAGGGAGTGATGTTAATGAACTATGAGGCCCGGATTCATTTTGCTCTTAAAAAACGTCCTGGATTCCAGAAAGCAGACGAAGAGAAGGAGCAAATGCCAGCACAAATGATGAAAATTCACTGTACGGTATATAAGAAAATGATTTACAGCCATATGCTGTGATCTGTAACCCTTCATTTGACTAGATGAAGCATCATGAATCACAGAAGTGAGTCCTCCAACACACACATCTGGAGTCACATCCACTCCAACAGTCTTCAAGTTTATTTACACAACATTTTAATACTGCAGAAGAGTTTGGACAGATCCAGTTATAGCTCTGTTCTCTTGAGACATTCCAGTGAGATCTTTTTTTAATGCTAATGTGTGTAACTTGTTAAAATACTTTCGCCTTTTATTTTAATCTTCAGGCAACTATAAGAAAGCCATCTGCGGGCAGACTTTCTGAAGAGTGTGAACACTGACTCTGCTGCATTACATTTGTCAGATTTGTTTGTTTGAGCTATATGTGTGTAATGGTGTGTGACACTTTACTATGGCATGAATATTTCATGCATTTCAGCGAAAATGACGTTGTATGTCAGTCAAAAATCTGGTGATTGCATCTCAAACCCTTGTGAAAAAGATGTGAAAAACCATACTTTAAAAAGGTCACTTAATATGGAAATAAATTATATACTTTAACATAATACACTTAAGTACAAACTGAATGTAAAGTTTTTGGACACTTAAGTGCATGTTATTTACAATTACATAATAATGTATTGTAGTTTAAATGTATATTAATGCAATTAGTTGAACAGTACAGTGCTTTTCTGAAGCACTTAAGTACATCTTTATGTGTGATATGTATTTCTACATTGGAATTTGGTAAAGTAAAAGTAATGTAAAGTAAAAAATGTAATATTGGGTACAAGCTAGAGTTAAAATTATAGTCAAGTACTACATTTTTAATATGAAAATAAGTGTAGGCCTACTACACTAAAGCACGACAAAAGATTATTAAAACAATGATTTAAAATGTAAAGCTTTTAATTTGACATTACTAAACGCACTTTTTTAGAAGTGTACTTAAGTGTTAAGAAATGTACAATCTTTAAGTACACTTAAGTGACATTTTATTTCATTAATACTAGATTATGTGCAAGTAGTTTTTTTAATGATATACTTTTAAGATTTGTGCACATTCAAAACAAGTACGCGCACTTAAGTGCATGTTATTTACAATTACATAATAATGTATTGTAGTTTAAATGTATATTAATGCAATTAGTTGAACTGTACAGTGCTTTTCTGAAGCACTTAAGTACATCTTTATGTGTGATATGTATTTCTACATTGGAATTTGGTAAAGTAAAAGTAAAAAATGTAATATTGGGTACAAGCTAGAGTTAAAATTATAGTCAAGTACTACATTTTTAATATGAAAATAAGTGTAGGCCTACTTCACTAAAGCACGACAAAAGATTATTAAAATGTAAAGCTTTTAATTTGACATTATTAAAATGCACTTTTTTTTAGAAGTGTACTTAAGTATTAAGAAATGTACAATCTTTAAGTATACACTTAAGTGGCATTTTATTTCATTAATACTAGATTATGTGCAAGTAGTTTTTTTTTATGATATAATTTTAAGATTTGTGCACATTCAAAACACGCGCACTGTTTTTTTTTCACAAAGGCATTTATTCTTTACTCAAACACGTACTGTATATATCCTGGGACCCAGGCATAGACTTTTGTCCTCTGTAGAGGACTCCAGGACAAACATCATGTTAATCAGACGTTTTGGGGAAACACAGCAAGTCAATAGAGAAAGAAATCATAGAGCAATATTCCTATGAAATTTGAGATGAAAATGTTGGCAAGTTAATACTCCCATTATTACACTACTTTTTTCATTATGGTTTGCCCCAAGAACACATTCATATGCAAATTAGATGCAGTGAATAGATACATTGTATAGAAGGGGAATACCAGTTTATGGACATTCTACACACATATTGCATAAAGTAAAGTAAAATAGTATATCAAATCATTCTGTTATATCTTTCATAACATAGTTGAGAATCACCTTTGTACAAAGATTTGGTTAAAAATAGGCTGAAACCTAAAAACTGATTGGTGAATGAAAAAATAAAACATTGTTTTTGCCTATACATGCCTTTTCAGTTTTATTTTCTTTAATAACTTAGTCCTGGCATCCTCTACAAAGGACATTTGTTTCTTATGCTCCAACCAATGTGATGACATGAAAAAAACTTTTTTCTGGCTCTCAGGAGAATATAAAAGCATTGTGTGTAGCATTTTGTTTCTTACCTGCTACTAAAGGCTTACTATGCTATTCTAAAAACGTTGCTTTCATTTTTTAATTTTGTGCAACATCATTTTACTCGCGTTTTTAAATTTTGGTTTCAGCTTGTTATTTTTTTTGTATACATTTGGCGGGAATCTGATCCCATAGTTTACCTGCATCTCAAATGGCACATGTGAAGTGTCCCTTTTATCTAAATTACCTTATTTTCTTCTGTGGAGGTTGGCAAACCAAGTTGAGGTTGGAGTTTAGCAAATAACATGACCTAAGCTTAAAAAAAGAAAAGAAACCGTGTCTTTGGGACTCGGTAACATCGTGAGCCCAACATGCGTGCGCGTGTGCGCTGACGGCTGCAGAGGGAGGGAGCGGCGGCCGACATCTTGGATTCAAGAGTGATCGGTGACCGCAGCTTCTAACACCAAATACTCTCAATTACACGGAGCTTCGGTCAGAAGCGGACACACCTGTCTCTGCCGGTTCGGAGGACACAGAGAGACTGACACACAGAAGGTGAGGTGAGGTGAGGGAGGGAACAGTCGTTGTCAGTCGTGACAACCGAGCGGGGCTAGTTAGCTAGCTTAACCAGCTAACCAGCCGGACGCCGGTGTTTCATGTTAGGTTCATTGATGGGGATGTGCTAAATTAATAACACGGAGTATTTGGGAACCGATAGTTAAAGAAAACGTCCTTTAATGCGTTTAAAATCGTGATGGCTGTGCGTTTGAATGGAAAGAATATCTTTACTGTTAACTATTTCGGTCCATCTCGGACAAATATTTTAAATTAAATAATAAAATCTGTTTTATTGATGCTGTGATATAGAAAGTAAATGGCATGTATTTATACGTGTTGGTTTTGAGGCGAGACGGACAGTCGCAGTGGGCTGGTCTGAGGCTCCGTCGGCTGAGAATCACGGGAAATTAACGTACATGTAAATTAAAAACCATTATCGGACATAATAGAAACCTTATATAATCCCGGACAGAATTGAAATGTGAACTCTTCTATTTTCCATCAGCAGCCATGAGGCTGTAGAGCTGAGATGGCATCATCATCAAAATATTCATCATGTGCTTATGAATATTCAGATATACTCGTAAGGCACAGGAACGGGTGTGACAGGTTTTATTGTTGTGTTGTCAACTGGGGTGTAAGCATGTGTACAGGTTATGTAGTCTGCCTATATATTCATGATAATTTCACTCATAATTCATTGAAGATGTTGCACCTGCATAAGGTTCAGGTTGAGTTTCTTTTAGCCAGATGTGTGTGTGTGTGTGTGTGTGTGTGTGTGTGTGTGTGTGTCTGTGTCTGTGTCTGTGTCTGTGTCTGTGTCTGTGTGTGTGTGTGTGTGTGTGTGTGTCAGTCACTGGGAATGTAAAACCTGACATGAAATAATCGGGAAAAACTAATTTGGAACAGTTTATTCAACCTTTAGACAAAATATGAACGTTTGCATATGTCCCGCAACAGTTTAATTTATCATATTTGATGAGTTACATTTTATTAATTTCATTTTTTATAAAAAATTATGTATCAGTATAGTAAGTGTACATCTCGAACTCTAAATATTACTAACAATATAAATTCTCACGTTTACTTTTAAAAATCAAAAAGGCACATGAACCAC